GGACAGAAAGTGTAACCATTTTCCGAAGAACGTTTGTCGAGGGATTGACTTCAATTATCTTTTTGACGAGATCGTATCTTGGTGCGGAGAATGGCAAAGGTCACTGATGATGCCGGCGAAACGTTTGAGAATGTATCAAGTCCACTGTCAGATGCTGGGAATCATGACAACTACTACGGCAGACGACTTCGGACTCGGTGCGTTCTACATAGTCTCCCTTAACACAAGACCAAGTTGCGACAACGAGGTCAACCCACTTCTAGCAGACGACGTCGGACTAGGTGCGTTCTACATGGTCTCCCTGAAAACAAGACCAAGTTGCTACAACGAGGTCAACCCACTAGTCGCCCTGACAACAAGACCAAGTTGCGACAACGACTCTAGACGACTTCGGACTAGATGCGTTCTACTAAGTCGTCCTGACAACAAGACCAAGTTGCGACAACGAGGTCAGGCGACTTCGGACTAGGTGCGTTCTACATGGTCTCCCTGAAAACAAGACCAAGTTGCGACAACGAGGTCAACGTCGGACTAGGTGCGTTCTACATGGTCTCCCTGAAAACAAGACCAAGTTGCGACAACGAGGTCAACCCAGAATTCGGACTAGGTGCGTTCTACATGGTCTCCCTGAAAACAAGACCAAGTTGCGACAACGAGGTCAACCCACCTTCACATAGCTTTGCTTTCCCAAAAGTTGTTCTCATCCAGGGTGGACTGCGGTTTATACTACCATTTTTTCAACACCTTACACGAAATAGGGTGAATACATTTGATATGACTGATTTACTGATCATCTCTAAACTCTACTCTAATACGAAAACAAGTTTGGCAAACAAGTTCCAACCACTTTGATGCTTATAAAGGCGGCTGCCACCAAAACAAAGTCGGCAGCATCTTCATCTTCACATCTACCGCTCAGTTGGCTCGAAGTGCATCACTAACCCGATTGTCTGCATTGGCCAATCCATAGACGAGGCTAAGGCAACAGAAGTCGCCGATACCGCCCGTCAACAGCGACCGGCCGCCTCTGCCGTTGTAGCCGGCCCCTGTCGGCGGTGGCCTCGAGCTGACGCCGTCAGCGACTCGTCTGCCCATCGTCGACGCATCAGCCGCCTCAGCCCCGGCTCCGGTCAAGTCGACGGCGTGACCGTCCGCGCAGCCCACATTGCCCAAGCCTGAGAGGCTGTTCAGGTCGAGCCGCCGGGTCGCCGAGAAACCGACGCCCTCGCCGGCCGGTTGGTAGTAGAGACTTTTAACACAGAAAAGATCCACATACCCGCCCGCCTGATCAGGCAGACTGGGCAGAGCACGCCCGTTGACAAGACGACTCGCCCTCGCCCTCGCCCTCGCCCTCCCCGTCGCCGTCGCCGTCGCCGTCGCTCGAGCCCGCGCCTGCAGCTCGAAACCCGACGGCTCGGTCAACGACTCGTCCTCCGTCGAGTCGCCGTTGCCCGGCGCCGACGTGGTGGCGCCTGTCGGCGGACACCAGGCGCCAGGCACGAGTCCCGGTCGGCTTGACGACGGCTCCGAAGCGTTGGACAACTCAGCCTCTGGCGACCGTCTCAACCGACGTACAGCAGACGGCTCATTGCGTTGCGAATCAGCAGATGCGGCCGTCTCGAGGCGCGTCGGACTGGCGGGTTGCGCGATTCCGGTCACCGTCGCCGAGCCGGCCAGACTCAGACTTGCCAGCCGGTCTTCGGGCAAGTCGGTGTTGCGATGGAGAAGACCGGTGACGTAGCGCTGCTGCGTGAGAAGATGGAAAGTGTCCACTTCCGTCAGGCAGGCAGAGCACAGCCGTCCGAGGCCGGGACTCAAGGCCTCCGACGCGACGGTGCCCAGTGGGACTCGAGCCGGACAACCGTCGGTCGGGCCGACGAGACCGAAGGATCCCGTCGACGCTTGGGCAGATGCGACGGGTGGTTGCATCGGACTGCTGCAGCGCAGACAGGCCGGCATGCAGCTGATGGAGAGGGCTCGAGCTGACCGGTCTTGCAGAAGCCGGGCGAAACCTCCGGGCGCAGCTTCGTT